GTAGCAAAAAGGAACAATCCATTAATGATTTTTGATATCAAGATCGATATCTCATCTAAGACAATTGATGATACAAGAGGTCGACCGATTACACTTTTGATAAGTCGTACGTTCATTTCATGCATTTTATCTTGTTTTCGTCAGTGGGAAATACGTTTGAAAATAACTTTTATTCGAAAGAATCCGATGGAAATTTCGGCTAATCTTTACGGAATTGAAATTAAATATACAATTCACAAGCAGTTTTTTTATATTTTAGTCAAATATTATTTGATTATAGGGGTTTTCTTCAAATTTTGCAAAAAGGGCACAGAGAGGTTATAGAGGCTCCTGGGGTACAAAGGGAAAATGTAGATCAGCTGCAAGCGAAGCAAGCAGAAAATTTGGTAATTACAGCCCTAAGATTAGCTTATAATTCCTTTTCCGAACAATGAGCCCGAGCCCCCCAAACCCCCATAATTTCCGCCACTGGTTCTTTTTTAGCGATTAACTAATAAGGTAAATAGCGATTTGTTTTTAAATTTCCAGATGGAATTATGTGGAGCAACGATTGCAAGAAAGTTGCAGTTACCACGTACAAAAAGGCGATCGAGGTTTTCAATCAGTACCACGGGAGTGGAATAGGAGGGCACTTTGGTTCTTGGAAGACAACAACAACAATTTCACGCGATTTTAAGTGGAAAAACATGACAAACCACATTTCACAGTGGGTAAGAGTTTTTGCTGAATCATAAAAGAAAATTCCAGACTTTGGAAGTAACGTCAGTTGAACTGGCATTTGAAAATTATTTGTTCAACATTGCCTTGATTTTTATACTTGTTGCTTGATTCAGTAAATCAAGGAATAAATTTGAATTTTGGAAATTGTTAAAAGGACGTGTCGACACAATGGTGCTCGTACAGCTCTTTCAAAGCTTTTAAAAAATTACAACTTGTATCATAGACTGTAATTTGGTGTAGCTTTCATTACTAGCATGATCATTTCATGGTATATTACATCGTTTATAAACTGACCTCTGTTCAAAAGTGTTAAGATTTTCATTTAGGATTGCAAGTGAGTGTATCATTATGACATACTGTAAATTTTTTGATAGGTGTCAAAACCTTGGGAGATGGTTGGAATGGACTTCATTGCTTGTCCTAAAACCCCAAGAGGAAACAAATACATCCTTACTGTTACTGATTATTTTACAAAATGGGTGGAGGCATTCCCCACTGTTTCAAAAGAAGAGTCCTGCGTCACGGAGTGCTTATCAAACTATTCTATCGACACGGAGCACCTGATAAGATCCTGAGTGATCAAGGCAGAGAGTTCGTGAACAAGGTAGTACCAGTGATTAGGTTGTAAGCACTTCGAATGCTTACAGATGTGTCTAAAGACATTTTTGTTAATAGTGCTATACGTTTAACCACGTCTACACAGATTTTTTCAAGGTTGACTGCAGAAACAAAAAAAATAGAGTTTTATTTAAAATCGCATTTGTGTAGACGGGACCTTCAATTAAAAGTGCTATCAAATTGCAGCTGTGAATAGATTTGAGCAATTTCAAATAAAAGAATGATAAAGGATGACTAAAATTTAAGACTATTTTATCACTGACAGGGAAATGATGCGTTCTGCAAATATCTGAAAGTAGAGCGAAAGCAAACCGCTGCCTACCATCCTCAAACCAACGGCTTGGATGAAAAAACGAACCAAACTGTAAAAAGGTAGGAAATAACTTCATCTTATCGTTATATACAGCTAAATAGCTGAATTGAATCGAATCAATTAGAGTAACATGAATACCCGAAATGTTTAAATGTAGCGAATATTGATGTTTGATTATGACTTTTCTACTGTATTCTTAATTATGGTATTCGTAAATTAATAATAAGTGAGTTTATTTTCAGGTCACTCGAAAAAAAGGTGAACGAGAAGCAAAATGACTGGGACCTGCACCTTGACCCTGTTCTCTTTGCAATAAGGACAAGTGTGCATTGTTCTACAAAATTTTCACCTTTCCGATTACTATATAACCGAGAGGCTAGAAGACCAGTTCAGTTGGAAAATAATGGTGAAGATTGGTCCAATGTGAGTGTTCTCAGAAATAAAAATGTCTCCAATGAAAAATGTTGATTCATCACCATTCCAATGGTTTCGAAGACTATTAAGGCACTCGCTCTTTTTATCTTCGGTTATTCATTGAATTAATCTATATCGAAAAATCTGTCTTACAGGTTACGATTAACTTGCCTTCTGCTGAAGAGTATGAGACCTACGTGCAGAATCTAGAGATGGAAGTAATTGATCTGCACGAGAAAGTATCTAAAAACATTGACAAGGCACAAGCGAGACAGACAAAATATTATAGAGCCAGGAACACGATCAACGGAAAGCCAGTTTTATTCAAAGAAGGGCAGCTGGTGCTTCTTTTTAATTCACAGAAGGCGTCAAAAAAGGGTGACTCCTTAAAAAAGTCATGGAAAGGGCCCTTCGAAATCATTTCTGTAAAAAATAACAAAAATGTAGAACTAAAAGGACGCAAAAGGCTTGTCAGTGTGCAGCACCTCAAACCTTATACTTTGGTTGGAGAAGCTACTTGCAGCTACCGTCCGACTTTTCCAGTATGTAAAAGTTATGTTCATGCTCTTAAATGAAAGGGTAGTTTTCTTAAATAGATATTTGGAGATATTATTGGAAGTAGTGTCAAAATTACCTTCCTTCTATTGCTATCTCTGTTGAAGAAATCCCTGTTATTAAAGGACTAATTGTACAAATTTATTTTCTCCAAGAAAGTTATTCTTTGCACCTTAAATGAAAACTATGGATAATGGAAAAGCTTGTAACTGTATGATGCAAATTGGAAAAAATTCTCTGAATAATACAATTAAACCAGAATTTTCAAAATCAACTCCATCCAATTTATAGGATGTTTCGAAGGTGAAACGAGCCAAAATCGAACAAGAGACACCAAATACAGATGGCCAGGTAGTTAGTAACATTATATTGTTGCGATTTTCATTCTAATTGCATTTTTAAATTGCATTTGTGTTAGTGTTAGGAAAGACCCAACTCAAATCAAATGGTTTTTAATTTGTAGGATGTTTCGAAGGTGAAACGAGCCAAAATCGAACAAGAGACACCAAATACAGATGGCCAGGTAGTTAGTAACATATTGTTGCGATTTTCATTCTAATTGCATTTTTAAATTGCATTTGTGTTAGTGTTAGGAAAGACCCAACTCAAATCAAATGGTTTTTAATTTGTAGGATGTTTCGAAGGTGAAACGAGCCAAAATCGAACAAGAGACACCAAATACAGATGGCCAGGTAGTTAGTAACATATTGTTGCGATTTTCATTCTAATTGCATTTTTAAATTGCATTTGTGTTAGTGTTAGGAAAGACCCAACTCAAATCAAATGGTTTTTAATTTGTAGGATGTTTCGAAGGTGAACGAAAGGTAAAACGAGCCCAAAATCGAACAAGAGACACAATACAGATGGCCAGGTAGTTAGAACTTATATTGTTGCGATTTTCATTCTAATTGCATCTTTAAATTGCATTTGTTTGTGTTAGGAAAGACCCAACTCAAATCAAATGGTTTTTAATTTGTAGGAATGTTTCGAAGGTGAAACGAGCCAAAACGACAAGAGACACCAAATACAGATGGCCAGGTAGTTAGTAACATTATATTGTTGCGTTATTTCATATTCTAATTTGCCATTTCATTGCATTTGGTTAGTTGTATTAGGATAGAGCCTCAACTCAATATTCATTTATGGTTTTTATTTGAGATGTTTCGAAGGTGAAATCGTAGCTAATTTCTGTTAATCAATTGTAGACATCTCATATTATTCATGTATGTTGCTCTTATGTTAGTTATTGTAATATTTAATTTTTGTTTGCATATTTTCTATTTCTTAATTGTTTTTTTTCATATTTGCATTTGTTTGTTATGTGGTAGTGTAAATGACTCATACTCAAAATATCAATATTTGGTTTTAATTTGTAGTGATTTTCTGATAAGTGTGTACGATAGCTCAATAATTCGAACTCTTAGATGACTCACCTTAATATTATCTCATGATGTTCCTAGGTAGTTAGTTAATACATTTATTTATTTGTTGTCTGAATTTTTATTTTCTTAATTGATTTATTTATTATTTGCTATTTTTGTTTTAGTGTTAGTTATATATGTATATTTTCACTTTTTATTTATTGGTTTAATTTTTGTAGTGTATTGTTCGATATGTGTAAAGAGCTTATAATTTTCTGAACAAGAGACACTAAATTACAATGAATGTGTTGTTTTATTGTGATGTATGTTATTATTCTTATTATTAGTTTGTGTATTCTTTAATGTTCTTTTAATATTTGTCATTTGTTGTGTTGTATGAAGTACCCATACTTTTTTAATATCAAATTGTTTATATTTGTATTGGTTTATTGTTATATGTTGTGTTATATATATTCATCTCTTACATCTTTGTAATAAGTAAGTATCTACTTCTTATATATTTATTCATGATGCTTTATGTATGTATGTTATATCATTATATTGTTGCGATTTTTCATTTCTTTATATTGCATTTTTTCAATTGTCTATTTTGTTTGTTTTTTTTTGTTTTTGTTTATTTTTAATTTTGTTATTTTTCTATATCTTTTTTTTTCTAATATTATTTTTTTTAATTTGGTTTATATGTTATGGTGTGGTATGTTGTAATGTGTATTTTTGTATTCTATATTTATTATTGATACATAGTTATTTGTACTTCTAAATTTATCTAGTATGTGCCTAGTGTATGTTTTTGTTTATTTTTTAACTATTTATATTTGTTTTGCGTTATTTTCATTTTATTTATTTTGCATTTTTTTAAATGCATTTGTGTTAGTGGTTTAGAAAAGACCAATCAAACAATGGGTTTTTAATTTGAGGATGTTTCGAAGGTGAAAACGAGCCAAATCGAACAAGAGACGAACCAATACAGGTAGTTAGTAACATTATATTGTTGCGATTTTCATTCTAATTGCATTTTTAAATTGCATTTGTGTTATGGTTAGGAAAGACCCAACTCAAATCAAATGGTTTTTAATTTATAGGATGTTTCGAAGGTGAAACGAGCCAAAATCGAACAAGAGACACCAAATACAGATGGCCAGGTAGTTAGTAACATTATATTGTTGCGATTTTCATTCTAATTGCATTTTTCAATTGCATTTGTGTTAGTGTTAGGAAAGACCCAACTCAAATCAAATGGTTTTTAATTTGTAGGATGTTTCGAAGGTGAAACGAGCCAAAATCGAACAAGAGACACCAAATACAGATGGCCAGGTAGTTAGTAACATATTGTTGCGATTTTCATTCTAATTGCATTTTTAAATTGCATTTGTGTTAGTGTTAGGAAAGACCCAACTCAAATCAAATGGTTTTTAATTTGTAGGATGTTTCGAAGGTGAAACGAGCCAAAATCGAACAAGAGACACCAAATACAGATGGCCAGGTAGTTAGTAACATATTGTTGCGATTTTCATTCTAATTGCATTTTTAAATTGCATTTGTGTTAGTGTTAGGAAAGACCCAACTCAAATCAAATGGTTTTTAATTTGTAGGATGTTTCGAAGGTGAAACGAGCCAAAATCGAACAAGAGACACCAAATACAGATGGCCAGGTAGTTAGTAACATATTGTTGCGATTTTCATTCTAATTGCATTTTTAAATTGCATTTGTGTTAGTGTTAGGAAAGACCCAACTCAAATCAAATGGTTTTTAATTTGTAGGATGTTTCGAAGGTGAAACGAGCCAAAATCGAACAAGAGACACCAAATACAGATGGCCAGGTAGTTAGTAACATATTGTTGCGATTTTCATTCTAATTGCATTTTTAAATTGCATTTGTGTTAGTGTTAGGAAAGACCCAACTCAAATCAAATGGTTTTTAATTTGTAGGATGTTTCGAAGGTGAAACGAGCCAAAATCGAACAAGAGACACCAAATACAGATGGCCAGGTAGTTAGTAACATATTGTTGCGATTTTCATTCTAATTGCATTTTTAAATTGCATTTGTGTTAGTGTTAGGAAAGACCCAACTCAAATCAAATGGTTTTTAATTTGTAGGATGTTTCGAAGGTGAAACGAGCCAAAATCGAACAAGAGACACCAAATACAGATGGCCAGGTAGTTAGTAACATTATATTGTTGCGATTTTCATTCTAATTGCATTTTTCAATTGCATTTGTGTTAGTGTTAGGAAAGACCCAACTCAAATCAAATGGTTTTTAATTTGTAGGATGTTTCGAAGGTGAAACGAGCCAAAATCGAACAAGAGACACCAAATACCGATGGCCAGGTAGTTAGAAACATTATATTGTTGCGATTTTCATTCTAATTGCATTTTTCAATTGCATTTGTGTTAGTGTTAAGAAAGACCCAACTCAAATCAAATGGTTTTTAATTTGTAGGATGTTTCGAAGGTGAAACGAGCCAAAATCGAACAAGAGACACCAAATACAGATGGCCAGGTAGTTAGTAACATTATATTGTTGCGATTTTCATTCTAATTGCATTTTTCAATTGCATTTGTGTTAGTGTTAGGAAAGACCCAACTTAAATCAAATGGTTTTTAATTTGTAGGATGTTTCGAAGGTGAAACGAGCCAAAATCGAACAAGAGACACCAAATACAGATGGCCAGGTAGTTAGAAACATTATATTGTTGCGATTTTCATTCTAATTGCATTTTTAAATTGCATTTGTGTTAGTGTTAGGAAAGACCCAACTCAAATCAAATGGTTTTTAATTTGTAGGATGTTTCGAAGGTGAAACGAGCCAAAATCGAACAAGAGACACCAAATACAGATGGCCAGGTAGTTAGAAACATTATATTGTTGCGATTTTCATTCTAATTGCATTTTTAAATTGCATTTGTGTTAGTGTTAGGAAAGACCCAACTCAAATCAAATGGTTTTTAATTTGTAGGATGTTTCGAAGGTGAAACGAGCCAAAATCGAACAAGAGACACCAAATACAGATGGCCAGGTAGTTAGAAACATTTGTTTTGTTTCCTCTTGATATTAGGCTATTTCATTTCACAGATTTGAAGAAATCATAATTGTGATTCACATTGTCTTTTTCTTTTTTGCCAGGATTTGTTGACACCTGGAGTGGGTATAGATAGTGGGTCAGGAGATATTCAATTTATGTCTCCTTATCTGTACCCAATTTTTCGACAGCGAAGTGCAGGATCCACAGAAGTGTCTTTTGTTGTTTCTGAAGATGAGGATACGTTTGGCTTTCCAGAGGATTTTTCAAACACTTTAAATATAAGTCCATCAGAATGTAAGTTATTTATTGACAATTATTATTTTAAAACGTGTTGTGTTTGTATTAAAAATACGATATCTTTTCTAATCTCACGTATCTAAGCTTATCTCAAGTTTTGCAATGAGAGTTTTTCTTAATTTGAATTAGAAACTCTTTTCTTTACTTATTTCCAGTGCTTCTCGGTATCTGGTCAAAAGGACCTGTCGGTTTCACAGAAGCCAAATACGCAGGGTTCCATTTGAAAGACTACAGCTTTTCAAAACTTAAAGATGGCTGCGAGATCGATGATGAGGTAGTGATTCTTTTCTTTAGTTCTAAAAATTTCCCATATCTTCTTTTTTTGTTTCCTATTTCGCTTCAAATTTACTAATACAAAGATTAACTGGTTTAAAAATGGTGTAAACTAAGCGATAATTTGTCAACTTTTGCATATGTTCTTATACAGTTTGTCTTGGAAATCAAAATAATTTTAATTGCATTTGAGCATCAAACTCTTATTAAATTATTCTATAAACTTGTTTTCAGATCATAGATGCTTACTTACAGCTGCTTGTGAGAAAAGCATACAATGACAAAAAGGTAATGCTTCTTAGTCACTAATGTTTTTTTTGTACCCTTCAGCTCTGTGCATTTGCTACAATTTGCTAAGTTTTCTTATTTTTACATTTGTGATATTTTGCAGGTTTAAGCGCCAGTTGTAAAAACGTTTCTGTTATAACAACAGATTTTCTGATTATTTGCAGTTGGATGTACTGACAATCAATTCAGTCATAATGACCGACATTTGTGCTGGGCGTGATTACAGAGGTCGCTTGAAGGAGGTTAGTATACAAGATATATTTTGACTAATTTTTGAGAGAATATGGTAATTCAAAGCAACTGCTGTTTTGTTATGTGTGTTTGATTCATTCAATGTACCACCTCTTTAAACAGGTTGATGTCGGTGCTTTTGACCTAGTCCTTGGTTGTGACAATTATGGTGGAAACCACTGGAATCTTTTTGTAAGTTTTTCTCTGTGTTTTTCTGATGTAGCATCGCCAATTTTTTCCAGTTTGATACATAAATCTCGTCTAGATACTTTGGGTATGGTAATAATCACCTTGCTGTTTGAAGAAGTAATGAGAAATCTTTTTGCTTTCTCTAAAGGCTGCTTGGCCAAAATCTGGAAAGATTTCATATCTAAATCCTCTGGGCGAGTCTGTGCCGCATCTCGAGAAAATCAAGAGAAACTGGAGGTTGGTTTTAAATAAATCTAAAAAATAAAAAACAGACGTGGCCCATCTATTTCTACCAACCTATAGATTGCATTTTCTGATAAAAATTATCTTCATAGAAACTTCTGCTATCAAAGAGCGATGAGCTGGAAGACAAGCATGCCAAGGGAATGGTTCATTGTTATCCCAAACCACCCAAAGCAACATGACTCGTACAATTGTGGTGTCTTCTGTATGAAGGTTTGTGTTTCATAGATGCATTTGGCGTTGATCAGATAAAATAATGATTTGACAATGTATTGTAATCTAATGATGACACTAATAATTATGACGATGATGATAACAGACAACAACATCGTTATGAATATGGCTGATAAGAATTTATTGAGATTTATTAAGGAATTACATCTGATAGGGTAATATTTGTGGGAATATGTGAAATATTGTGGGGTAAAAATCTTGTTGTGTAAGGATGCAAACCATCCAATCGTTTTTAAATTCCTTATCACAGCTATCAGCATATTTAAAACTTTCCTTGCAGCTTTCAAAAACAGTAGTGTTGCAGTTGATATTATGAAACTCGAAATTAATGTTAATTATGCTCGTTCATACTTGTCGTTTCAAATTTTAAGAGCTAGCTCTAAACGTATCATTTCAGTTTGCTGAGGTTTTGCTAAGAGACCAGAGTTGGCAATTCAAAATGAAGTCGGAAGATTTAATCTCATATCGCAAAATGATTGGTCAACTGCTGCTCTCTGACTCAGGTTATTAGAATTTCCCTGAAATTTTCCTTAACATGGTATTAATATAGAGGAAACATTTCTTCGTAGTGTTCATATAGAGAAAACTTTGCTCTTGCCACTCAAAAAAGTTATACATAGAAGTGCAACTATAGTGTTAAAGATGATGTGAAAACCAAAAAAATGTTCACTGTTTGCGTCTTTTGCACATAATCAGTTATTTTCAACAATTGTAAAAATGTTTTTAAGTTCACCTGACAAAGAGAAATGCTTTGTTTATAGATGAACTCGATAATGGATGGTGCAGGATTTGTGGAACATTTGCTGGTGACACTCAGTGGGTATGTAAAAGCTATTTTGTAGACTTTTAGATAAAAAGTATTGAAATTCTATTGTGTGCAGTTTTTATCTTTAAAAAATTAAATTTTGTTTAATATTTACTTTTCAATATTTAAATGCTCTCGATGGTTTCACTTGCGCTGCGTTAAAAAATCATTCGAGGAAGCAAACGAGATGATTTTTGAATGCAAAGCCTGCATCCAACAGTCGTCGATTCTGCTTGAATCAATCGATGGAAAAAATGAAGAACCGCGTGCAAGCTCATCTCCAAAGATCGATGAGCATCAAATGGAAAAAGGAAAAGGAGCGAGAGAGCTGCCAAAAAGATTGTATGAATTTAATCTCCTTTTTTCCAATAACAAAGCGAAAAGATGCCAGCATTGCCGCAGACAGTTTCGAGAAGAAGCAGCCAGGAAACTTAATGGTTGGAAAATACAGCACGTTCCAGGTTCCAACCAAGAAAGGACTACGAAAGTCTACCAGAAATTACTACTTCTGCGTCAATTTGAATTGCATAAAGGAAGAGTTCGATGACTTTTCGTGGGACAAATTAACAATTGAAAACGAAATTAAAGAAAAATTAACGGCGAACAATGTTAAATGGTTAGAAACATTAGGTATTGACTCGTCTAGTTATTAGAAAATGTATATTTTCCCTCTCCTCTTAAAAACTATAGGAACTTTTCAAAGCAGTACTAGCAACCGCGAACAAAAACTCTAGGACCTTTGATCCAATCACCTTTCGTACTTGTACAGAAAAGAATGTATTTTAAACGTCCCTTTGCAGTATTCTCCTTCCAGCCACAGAATTGAATCTTTATTGATTGATAGTCGCAAAAAGTACAATCTTTTCTTCAAAAAAAATTCTATACATTTTGTGCAGGATCGATATTTTAAAGAAAAGTTTGGATTAATTCAGAACACATTCTTACAGTATTGTTATAATGCTCGCCCTGAAAAAAAACAATTTTCAAAAAAATATATTCAGTAACTCAGATCTCTGTTGTGTACACTGAACAACAGGCAACTACTGGAAAATGAAAAAGAAATATGCAAGCTGAATCTGGAAAATAACCTTACAAAATTTTTAGAACTTTTATAACACTGAGCCTGAATATACTCTCAACAATATTTTTACAATAAAATGTATTTCGAAACGTATTTCATCACATATCGATAACAAATATGTATTAGCTTCGCGTTAAAATGAGAAATCTTTGAAATTAAAATAAGAAATTAGAATTAAAATCTTCAAAATCGTTAATAATGCTCCTTTTGAAAAAATATATGTCGATGGATTAGGACCTAAATAAAAGCAAAAACCTTTAGAAATGCAATATTTTGAATAATTTTGTAAGCAATATACCGTTAACAATTAATCTGCTAGAAAAGGAGACTATACATAATCAAAGCTATGGTTATCTCTGCCTATTTCGATTCTTGTCCAAAATACAGCAATTTAAAAACGTTGATAATATGATAGTTCTCATCGATTTGAAGCATTAAGAACAGTGACAAGTTTTAGACTTAGACAGGGGGCAGGTAAGGTAGGCCACGCAGATAAATTGAAACTTTACATTTCCAATTTTTCTGCGTGGGCTCATTATTTTCTTTTCTTATCCAAAATATAGCAATTTTTCATCAAAAACGTTGATAATATGATAGTTTTCATCGATTTGAAGCATTAAGAACAGTGACAAGTTTTAGACTTAGACAGGGGGGCAGATAAGGTAGGCCACGCAGATAAATTGAAACTTAACATTTCCAATTTTTCTGCGTGGGCTCATTATTTTCGATTCTTGTCCAAAATATAACAACTTTTCATCAAAAATGTTGATAATATGATAGTTCTCATCGATTTGAAGCATTAAGAACAGTGACAAGTTTTAGACTTACACAGGGGGGCAGATAAGGTAGGCCACGCAGATAAATTGAAATTTTACAATTCCAATTTTTCTGCGTGGGATCATTATTTTCGATTCTTGTCCAAAATATAGCAATTTTTTATCAAAAACGTTGATAATATGATAGTTCTCATCGATTTGAAGCATGGAGGACAGTGACAAATTTTAAACTTAGACAGGGGGGCAGATAACGTAGGCCACGCAGATAAATTGAAACTTAACATTTCCAATTTTTCTGCGTGGGCTCATTATTTTCGATTCTTGTCCAAAATATAGCAATTTTTTATCAAAAACGTTGATAATATGATAGTTCTCATCGATTTGAAGCAATAGGGACAGTGACAAGTTTTAAACTCACACAGGGGGGCAGATAAGGTAGGCCACGCAGATAAATTGAAACTTAACATTTACAATTTTTCTGCGTGGGCTCATTATTTTCGATTCTTGTCCAAAATATAGCAATTTTTTATCAAAAACGTTGATAATATGATAGTTCTCATCGATTTGAAGCAATAGGGACAGTGACAATTTGTAAACTGAGACAGGGGGGCAGATAAGGTAGGCCACGCAGATAAATTGAAACTTAACATTTAAATTTTTCTGCGTGGGCTCATTATTTTCGATTCTTATCCAAAATATAGCAATTATTTATCAAAAACGTTGATAATATGATAGTTCTCATCGATTTGAAGCATTAAGAACAGTGACAAATGTTAGACTTAGACAGGGGGGCAGATAAGGTAGGCCACGCAGATAAATTGAAACTTAACATTTACAATTTTTCTGCGTGGGCTCATTATTTTCGATTCTTGTCCAAAATATAGCAATTTTTTATCAAAAACGTTGATAATATGATAGTTCTCATCGATTTGAAGCATGGAGGACAGTGACAAATTTTAAACTTAGACAGGGGGGCAGATAACGTAGGCCACGCAGATAAATTGAAACTTAACATTTCCAATTTTTCTGCGTGGGCTCATTATTTTCGATTCTTGTCCAAAATATCAGAACTTTTCATCAAAAACGTTGATAATATGATAGTTCTCATCGATTTGAACCATTAAGAACAGTGACAAGTTTTAGACTTACACAGGGGGGCAGATAAGGTAGGCCACGCAGATAAATTGAAATTTTATATTTCCAATTTTTCTGCGTGGGCTCAATATTTTCGATTCTTGTCCAAAATATAACAACTTTTCATCAAAAACGTTGATAATATGATAGTTCTCATCGATTTGAAGCATTAAGAACAGTGACAAGTTTTAGACTTAAACAGGGGGGCAGATAAGGTAGGCCACGCAGATAAATTGAAACTTAATATTTACAATTTTTCTGCGTGGGCTCATTATTTTCGATTCTTGTCCAAAATAAAGCAATTTTTTATCAAAAACGTTGATAATATGATAGTTCTCATCGATTTGAAGCAGTAGGGACAGTGACAATTTGTAAAATGAGACAGGGGGGCAGATAAGGTAGGCCACGCAGATAAATTGAAACTTAACATTTACAATTTTTCTGCGTGGGCTCATTATTTTCGATTCTTGTCCAAAATACAGCAATTTTTCATCAAAAACGTTGATAATATGATAGTTCTCATCGATTTGAAGCATGGAGGACAGTGACAAATTTTAAACTTAGACAGGGGGGCAGATAAGGTAGGCCACGCAGATAAATTGAAACTTAACATTTCCAATTTTTCTGCGTGGGCTCATTATTTTCGATTCTTGTCCAAAATATAGCAATTTTTTATCAAAAAGCGTTGATAATATGATAGTTCTCATCGATTTGAAGCATTAAGAACAGTGACAAGTTTTAGACTTAGACAGGGGGGCAGATAAGGTAGGCCACGCAGATAAATTGAAACTTAACATTTACAATTTTTCTGCGTGGGCTCATTATTTTCGATTCTTGTCTAAAATAAAGTGGTCTCCTTCAACAAAAACGCTCACAAATGGTATGTCTGAACGGAAAAGTAACACAAAAAGATTGTAGACTACCTGAAACATTTCATTTTACTTTTATCTTTGCGCATGCGTGGGTATAATCCCACATTTTCCTCCTCAAAGTTTTATTCAACTTAAAAGTAGATGTGAGAATGATTTGATGTTGCCGTCATGTGACGCAGCGTTTGGCAAAATGCATCTTGCCCTGATGCAGTAGCCCACGCAGATTCTGGTAACCACGCAAAAAAAAGTATTACACCGGTCTTGTGCTTGCGTTTTTCTGATTGGCCTATTTCGATCCACAACTGGGTATCTATTTTTCCATCGTGTTTTTTTCGGAACCTATTCTGACGTTTTATGCTCTGAGGAGTGTCAGACGAAAAAGCTTTTAGTATGTCGTAAAATGTTTGCTTTATTCAAAACCATTTTCAAATTCTGTACCGCAAAAAAATTGTTCAAACCTGATAAAATTGGTAAAAGGAGCAAGATGGGAAAAGCCACTCGAATACGTGCAAGAGCAAAACTCAATTGATCAATACATAACAGATTTTGTTGCCCTTAGCAGCCATCTTTTAAAAGTCGTCGTCACTCTCCAAAGTTACAAGAGCAAGTAAAAATTGTTTCCAACAGCTACTTGCTTTCAGGGCCTAATTACGTTTTGACAGGAAATCAGTTATTACACCTAACATGCTAATGGCGACTTAGCTGAAAGACCAGACGCTCAGTTGAATGGAGCACTCAGTCAAAAGCCAAACATCACTTGTGAAAATTGGAAAAATCATATTGTGGTCAAAAGTGCGAATCAAGTAACAAGGGAAAGGATAAACAATCATGAGACCATGGGAAATTGATGTAAAAGGGCCTCTCCAGCAAAAAAAAAATTTTTTAATGACTTAAAATTTAGCTTCTGTTGCGTGTATTATGACAAAGTCATTGTTTTTCCAAAATTCCAATTAGTTTAGAAGTTGTAAGGCTTTAAAGTTGCATCTTTCCGAGAAAAAAAACGACAAAAGCCGAATCAGTTTGGTGACATTCTGACGTCACAATGTGCGGCTCTCGTTCGCCATGAATTTCGTATATCTTCCACCGAAGCGCGAAGGACTCATAGTCACGCGTTGATAACTGCATCCAGTTCCAGTTCCTGTTCCAGCTCTTCCCTCGCGTATAATCAATCGAAATTGTCACTTCAGTTGTTCTCCAGAAACGATGGACAACTAAAGGCTTCAGAATTGGTGTCTGAAATGCTCAAACTGAAAGCTGGTGGAACAGAACTGAGAGTACCATCACTTGCAGTGTTCAATTTGCGAATTGCCGTCGTTCGATTCGGTTTGAGGCGAGACTATCCGAAATACACTGTGACGTCAAAATTGCGTCACAGTGTCACCAAACCAACAATTTTTGTCGGTTAATTCAATTCAATTATCGAAATGCAAGAGCTTATATCTCACAAACTGTAAAAGAATATCGAAAAACAAATAACGAATTCGTGATCAGCAGGCTCAACTTCTTTATAAAAATTGCCAATAAAATGCAAGTGCAAAATTTGGCTGGAGAGGCCCTTTAACAGAAAACTGCAAAAACACCTGTTTGCACGTGTGGTCAAAAGCATGCGCAATTTAACTTGCGCGTGTGCAGGCGTGTGCGGGTGCGATCGCACACGCTAAACGAAAAGGACTGCTTTTGTGTCTGCTTCTTCTTACTTCGAGAAAAGTTCTTCGGCTACAGAGGCCAGGGAATTGGTCCCAATGAGTATGTTAAAAGATCCCTCATGCTGACAGTATCTCTCTTCTCTCCAACAACCAGGAGATTGGCATCTCTCTCAGTACTGATGGTGATTGCTTTTTCCTTAACATTTGCAAATCTTCTTTAT